GTCATCGTAAGGACAATTTCATGGCAACTAGACATGAAAGATTTAAAACTGAGTGACTTGTTCATCAGTGAATACTAGGTCATCGTAAGGACAATTTCATGGCAACTAGACATGAAAGATTTAAAACTGAGTGACTTGTTCATCAGTGAATACTAGGTCATTGTAAGAACAATCTTCAGGTAACTAGACATGAAATAATTAGAACTAGGTGACTGCCAGATCATCGTAAGAACAATTTCATGGCAACTAAACATAAAAGAGTTAAAACTGAGTGACTTGTTCATCAGTGAATATTTGGTCATTGTAAGAACAATCTTCAGGTAACTGGACATGAAAGATTTAAAACTGAGTGACTTGTTCATCAGTGAATACTAGGTCATTGTAAGAACAATCTTCAGGTAACTAGACATGAAAGAATTAGAACTAGGTGACTGCCAGATCATCGTAAGAACAATTTCATGGCAACTAGACATGAAAGATTTAGAACTAGGTGAATGCCAGATCATCGTAAGAACAATTTCATGGCAACTAAACATAAAAGAGTTAAAACTGAGTGACTTGTTCATCAGTGAATATTTGGTCATTGTAAGAAGGATCTCTTGGTAACTAGACAGGAAAGAGTTAGAACTGAGTGACTTTTTCATCAGTGACTACCGTGATTGTTACAGTTTGATCAATATCGTATAATATCACATTAGCTAACTAGCATATGTAGTTTCACGACTGTTCCATTTTAATTAATATCATATAATATCCACATTAGGTAACTTGTATATGTACTTTATGATTGTTATACTTTTTAGAGTGGTTTACTAATATTTTTCTTTTATAAATTCTTAAATAAAACACATTAACATTTATATCCAACATTTAAATATGAAAAGCCAAACTCTACTTGAAGTCATCAGAAATAAGTCATAATATTTTCCTAAGAAAGTATTTAAAAGTTCTGGTTATATATATTTGAAGGTTAACTTAAGAATGACTGCAAATGGCAAGGTATCGCTCTATAACTTCAATTTGGCGGTTATAAAATTTATTCATTTACCTGTTTAATATCACTCTCAAATACGTTTCTAAATCCCATACTTTTTAATTCTTTGCAAGTAGTTCCACCCAATCAGTGGCAGAACTACTGTTTAATTTGCCTGGGGTATTTTGGAGCATTTTATTTGCGTTTGTTGTCGAGTACAAAACTACACACTGCCTGCTACAGGGATCAAACCACGAATTTTAACTGTCAAGCTCACTGCTGAGCCATCTGAGAGCTGGAGCGTTTTTTGTGCTAATGCTAGTTGACCAGAAGAAAATATTCCTTGGCTGTTTTAATGATTCACAGGTGGAGGAATTTCTTTGTTTGGAGCAACACGTATATTCCTCAGCGATGTCCTAGGACCTAGGTGACCTGAAAAGCTCGAAATTAGTTTTAGTTTTTTATGTTGTGAAACTACACACCTTACTAAGTTTGACACTGTATAATTTAAGCGAAGACAACGTCTACGTACATGAACATTTTTAATGCATAGATCAACAGTAAACCAACAACCAATAGAAGACAAAAAAGGTAACCGTAAAGTGTATAAACAATGCGAATATTATGAAATAGAAGTTATCAAATAACATGAATTTATTAATAAGTTTATATTAGTAATAAAGATAGAATCAACAGATTTTATAGATAATAAGAAATAAAAAAATCGTATAATCATTACTATCTAATTTAAGGCACGTTTGTATAACCATAAATATTTTTTCCAGTGCCAATTCACGTTATATCTGATTTTATACCAGAAATTAGTAGACTTGCTGGTACTCAATGCTTAATAAGTCATTCCTTTTTACGTCTTTCATGTCTAGTTACCAGAAGATTGTTCTTAGGATGACCTGGGAACTATTAATACATACATACATTACCTAATGTGGATATTATACGATATTAATCAAAATGGAACAGTCGTGAAACTACATATGTTAGTTAGCTAATGTGGATATTATATGATATTAATTAAAATGGAACAGTCGTGAAACTACATATGTTAGTTAGCTAATGTGGATATTATATGTTATTAATTAAAATGGAACAGTCGTGAAACTACATATGCTAGTTATCTAATGTGGATATTATATGATATAAATTAAAATGGAACAGTCGTGAAACTACATATACAAGTTATCTAATGTGGATATTATATGATATAAATTAAAATGGAACAGTCGTGAAACTACATATACAAGTTA